ACAATGCAACATCAACAATATGATAATCACAAAATCCCAACAATCCCAAATAGCGAACGAACAACTTTCAATACCAAACATAAGGAAAATATTGTAGGAAGGGTACATTAGATTTGGTATTTTATACCTTAAGGGAGATAAATCAGGAGAAAATGTTGCATATTATCAAATAAATTTGGGTATTTCTTGTGAACTTCGGCCTCACGCTCCAAAGTTGCTTTCTCAAACCCATGATGATGCTGTAATAATCTGTTTTGGGTGACCGCTCGAGCAGTCAATCTATTGTTTGAGCAGAGATGTGAGGCTTATAGTATCTTGCCTGTTTGCAGGAGGAATCGTTTCAGCGATAATGTAGTCACTCGAGCGTAGAAATGAGACTCCCAGTATTTTCACTATCATATTGCAAAATTTCTGAGACCTTGCGTTTACCGCTTGAGCAGTGGAAAGTTCGCTTGAGTTGTCTGTTCGGGACAACACATTTAAAAGTCAATCTAAACACTTTTTCTCTCACTTTTTCCATACATTTTCTCTCTCTATCACCCATCTTCAAAGCCCTAGCCCTAAAACACTTGATTCTGCTTGATTTTTACCAAGATTCATCTTAGATCTTCCTAAGCGGTTAGAGAACAAACTTTATTCAAAGGATCTATTGATTGTTTATTGTTATTTTGGAGCTTAGAGTTGGGTCTTCAACTTCTTATCTTCAATCTTGGGGTAAGGGTACTTTTAACTCATTATATCTTTGATTTGGGATATATGTGTGTGTGTGTGTGTGTGTGTGTGTGTGTGTGGTGTTTTCATTATACTTATATAGGTATCAAGATGTATGCAGATTGCGTATTATCAAATGGGTTTGATAAAAAAAAAAAGGGTAATCTTTTATGAGTTTCTTGAAGAGTTTATGTTTTATGTTGATAATTGTGTTATGGCTAATGAGTATTGACCTTTAAATGTCTTAAAAAGGGAAAAGCCCAATTTTATTAAAACTCTAATTTTCAAAAAATTTCAATAAAAGAGGGATTTTATTCAATTGACTTTCGAATCTTGAAATTGGATGTATTGACTTGATTATGGTGTTGGAATATGAAATTTTGGGAGCCTCCTAACATAAAACCTTGAGATGATGAGGGTTAGGACTTGGAGAATCACTTTAATTGGGAATGATTAAGTTATTAGATTATTGAGAATTGAAAATACCTTCGGAAAATTGAGATTTGTAAACTTGTGCATCATATACATTCATTAATTATACTTCGCAGCTTGAAATCGTTAATGATTGGAAAGTGTTGGAAGGCGATAAATAGCATATGAGTCTGGGTTGTGAGTCGAGCCTTGGTTTAAGTCGTATGATGTATATTGGTACCCGTGCGGGGAGTCAAGGTGCCTAATTGCCCTGTCTTGTGCATGTCGTCGAACGAATGTGGGAATGGTATTAGGGTGTCCAAGTGCCTACCGTTTTTAGAGTTAGCGAATGTGGAAAACATGATTTTGGGTGTCCACGATCCCGCCATTTTTAGAGTCGGCAAATGTGAAAGAGTAAGGTCTTAGCTGCCCAACGCTTCGCTATTTCTAGAGTCGACAAATATGGAATTATTTTTCTATATATATATATACACATGTACTTGTGGTATACGACTCTTGTATCTAGACGGCATAGCATAGTTATACCCCATGATTTGGATGAGAACTTGTTATGGATTTGGTCTAACGGTTTTACAAAGGAACGAACATAAATTTTTCTCACCTCTTGCATGGCATGATCATATGTATCTTGATTAATTATATAATTTGAGAATGGTATTTCCTACTAGGGGATTGCTCACTCCAAAACTAGCAACCTTTTAGGGGATGACCTGGATTTGCTGCCTAAGTGATTGGCATCTAGAGTTATTTTTGGATGGGAGCACGGAGGCTCTTTTTTTGTGTTATGTGTTGAAGCCTCGGGCTATTCTTTTGTGATGGAGACTATATTCCATTTTTTTTGGTGTATCCAAGGGCATCCCTTGAGAAGATGTTTTCCTTAGGGCATTTACATTTTGTATTATCTCTTATCCATTGAACTATTGTTATTATTTGCAGAAGGTAATCATACAATATTGTAATCCCATGAATAGTTCAAGGGAAAAGTGACGAATTTTGAGCCATGCAATAAATATTTAATGCTTTAACTTAATACCTTTAGCTATAATGTTTTTAGATTAACATGGGGATTAATGATGAAATATCGGGGTGTGACAAGTTGGAATCAAAGCAAACCGGGTTTGAATACCTAAAGCTAGTAGGATTTGGCTTATACCATAATAGGTTTATCATGTTAAGATGGGATGTTAGCATCTTATATGTTTATGTGTTTATGTGGTTGCGTGACTACGTGGGTATGGGGTCAAGTTTCTACGATATGACTTGCGTCCATTACACTCATCGAAGTCCCATTGGAAAGGCACCTAATAAATGCTTTCTCCACTTGGAAGTCTTTGAGTGTCGTGGGACTAGTTGACATCTTAGGAGCGTGATTTGTATGTGCTCTAGGTATTTATATGTTTATGTGGCTTGTCATATATGTAATAAATGTATGAATGGAGTTGTGGTTATTGAGCATTGACCTTGAAAAAGGAAAAACCCAGTTTTCATAAAACCCTATTTTTCAAAAAATTTCAATAAAATGAGATTTGGTTCAATTGACTTTCTAATCTTGAAATTGGACGTATTGACTTGATTATGGTGCTGGGAGATGAAATTTTGGGAACCTCTTAACATAAAACCTTGAGATGATGAGGAGTATGACTTGGAGAATCACTTTAATTGGGAATGAGTAGGTTGTTGGATTGTTGAGAATTGAAACTACCTTAGGAAAATTGAGATTTGTAAACTCATGCATCATATGCATTCATTAATTACATTTCGTGGCTTGAAATTGTTAATGATTAGAAAGTGTTGGGAGGGGATAAATAGTGTATGAGTCCGAGTTCTGAGTCGGGCCTTGGTTTGAGTCATGTAATGTATATTGGTACTTGTGCGGGGAGTTAAGGTGCCCAATTGCTCTGTCTTATGCATATCTTTGAACGAATGTGAAAAATGTTTTAGGGTGTCCATGAGCCTACCATTTTTAGAGTCTGTGAATGTGGAAAACATGATTTTGGGTGTCCATGAACCTACCATTTCTAGAGTCGGCTAATGTGGAAGGGTAAGGTCTTTGGTGCCCAACGCCTCGCCGTTTTTGGAGTCAGGAAATGTGGGATTATTTTTTGTTTCTCTCTCTCTCTCTATATATATATACATGTACTTGTGGTATACGGGTCTTGTATCTAGACATCATAGCATAGTTATACCCCATGATTTGGATAAGAATTTGTTATAGACATTGTTTAATTTGGTCTCATGGTTCTACAAAGGTACGGACATGGATTTTTCTCACCTCTTGTGTGCTATGTGTTGAAGTGTCGGGCTATTCTTTTGTGATGGAGACTATATTCTAATTTTTTGTGGTGTGTTTGTGTGTGTATCCAAGGGCATCCCTTAAGAAGATGTTTGCCTGAGGGCATTTATATTTTGTATTATCTCTTATCCATTGAACTGTTGTTATTATTTGGAGAATGTAATCATAAAATGATGTAATCACATGAATAGTTCAAGGGGAAATAGATATTTAATGCTTTAACTTAATACCATTAGTTATAATGTTATAGATTAACATGGGGATCGATGATGAAATATCGGGGCGTGACAGACGCTAAAGCACTTTGACTAATGGAATCCTTGTTCTTGGGTTTCTGAAACTTTAACCGGTCTATCTTCATAAGATGCATCCTTATCAACCTCAATATCGATTCAATCTAACAGATGGAAAGGGTTGGACTCGTACTTACGAAGCATTTACACATGGAATACGTCATGTACTCTAGAGAGTTATGGTGCTAAAGCAAGACAATATGCAACTTCTCCTATCCGTTTTATGATAACAAAAGGACTGATAAATCATGGAGATAATTTTCCTCTTCGACCAAACCTTATCAATCCCTCCTAGGCTAAATTTTTAGAAATACATGATCTTTCTACCTCAAAGAACAATGGTCTTCGCCTCCGGTCGGCATAATTTTTCTGACGGCTTTGAGCTCTGACTAATCTCTTCCAAATGAGAGCCAACTTTCTTGGTGGTCTCGCAAACTAATTCAGGCCCAAGCATAGGTGAATCCCTTATCTCGGCACAACAAATCGGTGACCTATAAGGATGCCCGTAAAGAGCTTCAAAAGATTCTATCTCAATGCTAGCCCGATAGTTGTAATTATAGGCAAACTCGGCTAATGGTAAATGCTTCTCCCAAGACCCTTTGAAGTCTAACACACAAGCCCTTAACATGTCTTCCAAAATTAGAATGGTGCGCTCGGATTGTCCATCAATTTGAGGGTGGTAGGCCAAATCTTTCCGTGGTCCCACACATGCATGATTTCGGTGTTCTCTGCCGCAGCAGGCAGATATAGTGCATCTCAAGGAATCTCCAGGTTGCCAGCAACATCTGTCTTGGAGAGCTCGTTTTCAAAGTACTACGTTCCAAGACTATACCACTAGTAAAGGTATTGTGGAAAAATCATGCTTTGGAGGAAGCTACTTGGGAGCGGGAGGATGATATGAAAATCCGATATCCACATCTTTTTCAAGGTATGAACTAGACTAAACAAATAAATAAATTTTGTGGACGAAATTTCCTTTAGGGGGGTAGAATTATAATATTACCAACAATCATCTAGAGCCAAACACACTCCTATGTCAAACTCTATTTAGGATATCTAAACCCAACTCCAAACTTGATAGTAGGTGTGACCAAACACCCCATTTCAACACAAAAAAAAAGAAGAAGAGAAGTGCAGATTTTTTTTTTCTTTTTCGTTGTCAAAAAAAAAAAAAAAATAGAAGTGCAGATTTTTTTTTCTTCATTGTCTTCATTCTTCATTCTCTAACTTCTCTCTACTTTTTCTCTCATTTTCCTTTACTTTCATGGAGGCCAAACACCACACCTTTGTTCCACCCTTACACCAACACCTTAACCCACCATCTCCACCACCGCCGGCCACCTTATCTCGCCGGAAAAAGGGTCCGGTCGGCCACTCCTTAAATCCATCCGAAAATAACACAATAGAAGCACCAACTCTAGATTTTTTCTTAATCTTTTGAAGAATCAAAGCATGGGGTTTATTTTCTTGATGGATTAGAGGCTTGTAATTGGTAAGAATCTTTCTCTAAAAGTTTAGTTTAAGGTTTTACATATTTTGAGTTAGAGATGATGAAATTTTTGTATTTTAGATCTATTATGATTTGAGGTTTGATTGTTGAATTTTATACTCTCAATTAGTTTCTATGAATGTTTTACATGTTAAAAAAAATGATCAATTTGATGGTTGTTTCGGAGATTAAGATTTTGGGTTAATCTAGGGTTTGAATATGATGTAAAAATTGGGGATTTTGGTGTTAGGGAATTTATATGTTGAAATTGATTTGATAAATGGTGGATTGGGTATCTCTATGTTCTATAGAGGAATTTTATAAGTGATTGAAGAGATTTTACTTAAGTTGTTGAGTTTATAAAAAATGTTGATTTTTGACTTTTGTAGTTAATTGATAGTGGTATTGTGCATATAAATTGATTGGATATTTAAACGGTTACTAACTCAACGATGTACAAAGGATGGGTGTTGTGGAGATTGGATAAGTTATTTGTTTGAGGGACTTGAAGTTGGAGGAGTTCTTTAGCTTGTCATTCCTTAGCATAATTTATTTAGGATCATTTTTGTAGATGTTGTAATTTTCATTGAAAGCTTTTTCCTAATTTTAGGTCCTATTTATTAATTGTTAGGATTGGAGGAAGGCATCTCCACACCTCTTGGGAATTAATTTGTAGAGTCTCAATCTACGCTTTTGCTATTTTTGGAGGTGAGTATACTTACCATGGAAATTACCTTACCTCTATCTTTATTACATAGTTTGAAGATAATTTTGAATTAAAGGAGGTGAATGATACATTTCATCATGATATATGTATAAAAAGAAAAATCAATAAATCTATAAATCTATTGAGGCCAATGGTTGAGTTTAAATAAATATATGATTTCATTTGTATAATGAAGCACTAATTTTTTTATGAGAATTTATTTAAGTTGAGTCCTTCAAATTTTATGATGATGATGATTGAATGACAATGAAATGTTGTACACGGGTATTTTTTTTTTCCTGTTTTGATCATATAACCAAATATAGCCTTTGGGGCCACAAGGGCCAAAATGCTTTGGGGTCCTAGCGACCGAAATGTTTTAAGGACCATAAGGGTCGTTGTATATATAAGGGGTCCCGGGGACCGAAACATCGAAATGAGAATTGAAGTGCTACGTTGACATGAATTATGTTCCTATGGTTATGTTTTAGGTAACGGTACCGTCACCACCTAAGTCGCGAGGTAACGCGACCCTAAGGCTATGTAGTGGTTCGTATGATGGACATGAAATCTTAATGTATTGAAGAGTTGTATTTTTGTTTACTTTCATTATTTTTATTTTTATTTTGTATAAATTTCAGTCCAATTAAGCTCTTATGTTTATTATCCTTATTTTGAACCCAATTGGAAGGAGCAATTTTTATAACTCCATGGTATTGGTATACTCATTGGGCTTTAGCTCATTCTTTTAAATATATATATATATATATATTTTCAGATTCATAGACTTTTGTGTGGCTCGCCTCAACTTGGAAGACTAGAATTTTTTTGAAGGATCAAAGGTGGGCATCTTGTAGTTGAGGTTTTGCTTAGGGTCATTCTAGGATGTAAGTTTACCTTCTTTTTTTTATGAAAGAGGTTGATTGTAAGTAATTGCTTATGAAGTTGGATGTATTGATGGATTCGTGAATAGTATGTATTATTTTTAGGGAGGAAATGCTTGGGAACTATCTTGTAGCATGATAATACTTTTTCTCTTTGAGTAGATCATCTCATATATGTTGGGCAATTGAAATGTCTTATGCACTTTTGGTGATGCGGTGATGTGATGTAAGAATTATATAGGAATTGTGGTATAAAGGAGCTATAGCGTTTAAGGTGCACCCTCTTGGCGGGGTTTTGCCTTGCCAAGTTTGGGTCGTTACATTTTTTGGTATCAGAGCATTAGGTTATGAATCTGTAGACTAGTTACTTTAGAATTAAGGTTGATAGGGTATTGTAGTTAGTAATTAGATTAGTGATGATGTTTAATAGCGATCTAGTATTCTAAGTTTTAATTGTCTTGTTATACAGGCGCGTATGGCAAGGCGAAAAGTTCATAAGAGTCGCCCCCTTATGGAAGTACTTGAGGCTGAGCGAGAGCCACATCTTCGTGTTGGAAATGAAGTTCCACCTTGGGTTCAGGAAGAAGAGATTGAACATGAATCGCATAATGAGCAAACTCAAGAGTCAAGTGCCAATCCAGAAGTGGGACATTCAGATAGAGTTATACCACCAAGGGCTAACGCAGCTCCAGCATTTTTAGACCCTAGTGTGCAGCGCCTTTTAGAGTCAATGGCTAGCCTAGCGGAGAGGCAAACTCGCATCCATGAACAACATAATGTAGCACAGTCTAGGCCATTTGTGCAACCTACAGAGAACCGCCTCACCGCAATTGAGAGGTTCAAAAAGTTGGGGACTCCATCATTTTCTGGATCGCCCAATCCTATGGAGGCAGAGGCCTGGCTAAGGAGGGTAGAGCAGATATTTTCTGTGATGGAAGTATCAGACGAGTAGCGAGTTGCACTTGCTAGTTTTATGCTGGTAGAGGAGGCTGAATATTGGTGGGAGGCCACGCAACGCCTACTTAGGGTAGGTGGCACCGGAGGATTGACCTGGAACCGATTCACTAAGGTTTTTAATGACAAGTACTTTCCAGCTACCTATCGGTATGAAAAAGAGAGAGAGTTCCTTCGGTTAGAGCAAGGGGATTTGACTGTAGCTTAGTATGAAGCTAAGTTCATTTCTTTATCTCGTTTTGCCCCTTCGTTTGTGGATGATGAGGAGGTCAAATGTCATCGTTTTACAGATGGGTTGGATTTTGACATCAAATCTCGTATCCGAGTATTGGGAATAACTAACTGTTCGACCTTGGTTGATAAAGCCTTAACAGTTGAGAAAGATGTCATAGAAATGAAGTTAGCGGAACAACAGAAGAAGCGCCACCTTAGTTCATCCCATCATGAGAACACATCTAATAGACCGTCAAAGAGAGGTGGTCATGGTTATGGTTCAGTCAAGAGCTCTAGTGCATATCAAAAAAATAGAGAGCATCCCACCCCAACCCAAAGCATTTCTAATTAGCGTCATGGACAGTCTAGTGGGACATCATCTCAGTTTACTCAAAGTGTTTGCAAGCAATGTGGGCAGGCACATACAGGCGTTTGTCATGCTGGTACCGACTTGTGTTTTCGTTGTGGCCAGAAGGGTCATTTGGTGAAAGATTGCACAATTCCAAAAATGACTAATTTGGGAGATACACGAGCTTGCTTCAATTGCGGACAACCCGGACATTTGGCTAGAGATTGCACACGAACCACTTCATCTGCTAGTATTGGAGTTGGTAGTAATAAAATTTCAGGTGCCGACCGAGGGGGAGGCCGAGGAGGAGGTCATGTTGGGACTAGGTTTGGCAAGCAGAATAAAGGAGGTGTTCAATCCAATAGACAAACCTCGCAGGGGAGAGTTTTTGCTTTGACTCAACGAGATGCTCAGGCTAATCCGGAGGTGGTGGCAGGTATTATTTATGTGTTCAGTAGGGAGGCACATGTACTTATTGATCCGGGTTCTACACATTCTTTTGTATCTCTATCATTTTCTTTGCATGCTGATAAACCTATTGAACCTCTAGGCTATTGTTTATCCATTATTACTCCTATTGGGGATTGTGTTATAATTGAGGAGGTATATCGTGGTTGTGTATTATAGTTGGGAGATAGGGAGATGGTAGCGGATTTATTGCCTTTAGAGATGCTTGATTTTGATTTGATTTTGGGAATGGATTGGTTGGCTTCTTACCATGCTTCGGAGGATTGTTATAGGAAAGAGGTAGTATTTTCCAATTTTGGGGAACCTGAATTTAGATTTTGTGGAGATTGATGTCTGTCCCCATCTTATGTTATTTCTGCTATTACCGCTAGAAAAATGCTTAAGAAGGGGTGCCAAGGATACTTAGCCTATGTGGTTGACTACGAATTGAGTGGTCCAAGGCTGGAGGATATACCAATTGTGTGTGACTTCGTAGATGTTTTTCCCGATGAACTACCTGGATTACCCCCAGATCGAGAAATTGAGTTTGCTATTGACTTAATTCTTGGAACTGCCCCAATTTGTAGTGCATCTTACCGTATGGCCCCAGCGGAACTTAAGGAGCTTAAGATGCAATTGCAAGAGTTATTGGATAAAGGCTTCATTAGGCCAAGTGTCTCGCCTTGGGGATCACCTGTGTTTTTTGTGAAGAAAAAAGATGGCACCATGAGATTGTGCATTGACTATCGGCAGTTGAATAAGGTCACGGTGCGTAATAAATATCCTTTGCCTCGTATAGATGATTTGTTTGATCAACTTCAGGGAGCATGTGTGTTCTCCAAAATCGATCTCAGATCAGGGTATCAACAACTTAAGATTAAGGAAGAAGACATATCAAAAACTGCTTTTCGAACTCGCTATGGCCATTATGAATTTCTTGTTATGCCTTTTGGTCTAACTAATGCCCCCGCCGCATTTATGGACCTTATGAATAGAGTGTTTCAACCATACCTTGACCAATTTGTGATTGTATTTATTGATGACATACTTGTTTATTCCAAGAGTCAAGAGGATCATCAACAACACTTACAGGTGGTATTGCAGACTTTACGAGAAAGGAAGTTGTATGCGAAGTTTAGCAAATGTGAGTTTTGGTTAGATCGTGTCATATTTTGGGGGCATGTGATTTCGGGTGAAGGTATTTTTGTGGATCCGAAGAAAATAGAGGCTGTGGTGAACTGGGATCATCCTACTAACGTGACCGAGGTGAGGAGCTTTTTAGGGTTGGCAGGCTACTATCGTAGATTTGTAGAGGGGTTTTCATTGATTGCGGCACCATTAACACATTTGACCCATAAGAATACCAAAATTGAGTGGACAGAGAATTGTGAAAAGAGTTTTCAAGAATTAAAGAAGCGATTAACTTCTGCCCTGTAGACGTCCCCGAACGCCCCGGGAGGATGAGTCCCCCCCGTTTTGTTCATATTGGGCTCACTACAGTTCAGGACTCTCAGATAGTCACGGTCCTTAATCTGAACCAAAGAGTCCAAATCCGGCAAATCGTTTTGAGAAAACAGATTTTTAGAAAAGAAGTGCCAAACATGGACTGCTTTACCAGATACAGAGTCGCCACCCAAATATTTTTTATGGGGGAATTTAGGAGACCTGGCTCGGTGCCAAAGGCCACGTGTCTGTCATCACCAAAGTTGCCTCGGCTCGAGAGCTTGGGTACGATTGGGGAAGGTCAGCTATGAGCACCCCCTCTCGCCCGATCCGAAGATCGGCCTCTACTAACCGTGATATCCTTTTTTTGAAAATGTTATGTGTTCTTATTTCAGTTATTAGCCTAGAATTACTATGTTATGCGCACAACAAACAAGTATAGATCAAATTGCCTAAATTGGAACAAAACATTTCGTGCTTGTTTTGAAAATGGTTTGCTACTCGCAAGTAGGCTGAAATGCAGGTTTTGCCACCCTCAAGTGGGCTCTAGAAAAGATGGTTTTGCCACTATCTAGTGGGCTTAAAACTCACAGTTTTAATTCATTATCCCAATTTAGTTAATTCAACCTCCATCCACAGGCATTCAAGCAGTTATATCACATAAGCAGCTAGCCTCATGGTAATCATGCTATTATGGCAACACTCACACGCATGAGGTATGCTAAAGCATAAATGCTTACCGAGTACTCCAAGCCAAAACAAAAGCTAGTTAGTAATCAATGCATGATCCTACCTCATGTTAAGATGGCTAATGCAACACATACAAAATGCAACTAAGATAGGCTCGGCTAATCTATAATGACATGTGAAATGCTACAACTAACACGTATTCAATTTGGAATTGAAATACAAATGCAGTTAGAATGATGCGCCGAGCCCGGTGCATGCAAAACGAATGAATGGATGCAGTCATGCTATCATACTGTATGTTAAATGAAACATGCCCTAGACTAACCATCGAAAGCTAGTAAATAAAAGGGAAGAAAGACGTGGGGTTGGGAGACATACACACACTCACGCACACTTATTACAAAATTACCCTCACTCGGAGGGTCCGAATAAATATTACAGTCCAAACAAATAATACTAAATTAATTATTACAGAACTTTCTAATTTAACTAACAAGTTAAATGCAAGGGAAAAGTGGCCGCAGCCCTGCCTCGGAATACGTGGGTGATGCATGCTCGAATTCGTCTTGCCCGGGAATCCGTGCCATGCCACTGTTGCCTCTGTTTACACTGCCCTGCTCCTCTGAAAATTCTCGCAAGTCCCAAGGGTGCTTATGTGGACACGGGGGAGCATCACCGACCAGGTGAGGATATCATCGGCCAAAGAGGGTTTTCACCGGCCACTGATCAAGCTTATCGGCCACAAATTATTGTCGGTCGGCACTCTTGGTAGCCGACCGGCCAAAATTTTGGGCAAAACCTGCAGTTGACAGCAGCAGAGGGCAAGCAGTGTATGGCATGGAATTTTTTTGAGAAAATGTGAGCATGGACACATTCCCTATCATGCAAGGGACTCAAGGGAGCATGACCCTCGACCCTCGGGCCATCAATTGTGCATTTCGACGCATGATGACCTAAGAGGCCAAGTTTGCAATTCAATGTAAATGCATGCAACCGAAAGAGATGAATGCCAACACCCTATCATGTTGAGGTCAAGGGGATTGACGACCGAGGTTTGAGACGTGTTACATCACTTGGAGTATGAACACTTCTCAATCCTCATACTTGGTTTGACACCCCAAACCAAGCAAAATGTAATGCATGGATGCAATATAGAATGCAAAGTGATGCAACTCATGCAAGGTAACATGAACATGCTAAGCTCTGAAAATGAATAGAGAATGATGCCAAATCAAACAAAACATGCAAGCAAGGCATGCAACAATGACCAACACTTGAAGCCAATAAAGGGGGTCAAACCAAAGCTATGTCAACCAAACCTTAAAGGACCAAAATGATCTAAAATAGTCCCAAGGGACTCCAAAACAAGACTAAAGCATACATAGATCATGATTAAAACATGCCAAGAAATGAGTCCAAAACAAGGGCATTCAAGGCCACAAAAGGGAGCATTACTCAACACCTCCCCCAAGC